TTTTTCCTGGCGTTAGAATGACCAATCCGGAGTACGCGGACGACACTGTCTTACTTAGCCCCTCTGCCGAAAACATGCAGACCATGCTGGACAGGTTGAGCGACCGAGCTGGTTTGTATGGAATGCGCTTTGCACCTTCAAAGTGCAGTGTTGCTTCAAGACTGGGGCATTTCAACTCCTACTTTATTTATTACAGATAATCCACTTGAGACAATTTCACATACTTGGGTAGCACTATCTCGTCAGCCTGATGTGTTGATGATGAGATATCAGCGAGGATTGCAAAGGCACGAGTTGCCTTTGCTAAATTGCGTCATCTCTGGCGTCGGAAAGACGGCCGGTTGTCACTAAAAGGAACAGCATATAATGCTTGTGTACGTTCTGTATTGCTCTATGGTTTGGAACCGTGGCCTGTTCACAAAGAAGATATCAACAGGCTTGCTGTGGTTGACCATCGTTGTCTCCGCGAATTGGCCCATATTAAGTGGACTGATCGCGTGAGCAATGTGGCAGTTCGTCGGCGCGTATTCCGGAACGCTCGGGATGCGCGATCAATTGGTCAATTAATCACGGTACACAGCTTGCGTTGGTTGGGTCACGTACTCCGTATGTCATCTGATCGTTTACCGTACCGGGCATTATATGCTGAGGCCATCAGCAGTTGGGGGAAACCACATGGTGGTCAAGCAACGACGTGGTCACGAAATCTGAAGATCCTGGCTGCTCCATTGAGCAGAGTGGGTAGGTGTCGCCTGCGTGGCTGGGGTCCCCGTGATCACCTAAACCGCTGGTTAGAGACGCTATCCGAGATGGCGGTGTGTCGCAGTCAATGGCGTACCTGCATCAATACCATGCGTACGAATCACCTAGGCGATCACCGGCTTTAACCGTCGATAAGGTGTGTCGGGTACATTACATGGCTGAACCTCAATCAACAAGCTTCTGAACCGATTTGATCACCGGCTCCCACCAATACCAGGCATGAATCTTAAGAGCGCTATCGGTTTTGAACTACATTGCTGCACAGACCTACTACATCAGATCCACCTTCGTTGATGAACCCTCGAACGGTAGCACTGCTTCTGTCGCAACCTGTTGCAGAGCGCACTGGGAATCCTGGATGAATGAACTCCATCTGAAGGGCGTATAAATTGGACCACTACTAGCCACCGACCCTCAATGGAATGCGAACTCCGTGCCCCGTCTTGCTGCTTCGTGCATTAGGTTTCTTCTGAACCAAAAGCTTCGGGTGGGGTTTCTCAAGCCAACCTCCTTCAGCCTGGACAACCGAGAAGTACTCCGCCTCACGCCCTCCCTCCCAATTACCAACTTAAACGTGTATTAATTATGGATGTTGTCTTGCCTTCCTATCACAACCCTTTGGTCGAGGTGTCGGTGGTCAACTGTACTTTCATATCACATTTTACCGCGATAGACTAAGAAGTCCTGTTCTCCACCCCCCACACACCTTTACTTGGTGACTCCCCAACCCCTGCTTCAGGTACACATCATAGACTTACGTCATATATGATTTTTACCACCAGCCCATTAACCTTCTACACACCGCGCGGCGCACAGACATTGTATCACTGGCTAAAGACTTGAACACCCAAGTAGGTAGGGTAGGCGCTGAAAAGTGTGACCTGGGTGGCCCACAGTCTTTACTCGTCGAACAGACAATGGTGAACGTTTATTACAGCTCTGTGTTGATAACGGTCTGTTTCCAACAAGTACTGATTTTCGATGTTCTAGACGTCAATGTGCCACCTAGCGATCTCCATCGCCGAATCAATGGTAGACATAGATTGACCACATAGCTGTCAGCTATCGATGCTATGGCTGTTTTCAAGATTGCAAGTCAATCTGGAACACCTGTGTGGATTCGGACCATACATTAATATGTGCCAAGTTCGCTCATCGTTCTGGTGGGAGGTCAATTCGTCGTCAGTCACAAACTAATGTGTCTAAGCTAGCAGACACACAAGCGGTTTACATTTACAAGGGTGCACTTGCCTCGATTCTCATTCTCCTTCCATCAAACGACATCGAAGCATGTTGGACACACATAAAACGCGTAGTGCATATGTACGGAAATGCTTCATGTGGTACTACTGCTCGCTCAGCTACCAGCCGCTGGACCTTAATGCGATCACTGGAACGTCTTGAAAACTGCCGGAATAATCCGTCCATAAGTAAGTATAACTCGGCTAACAAGGTTACTCGCATGGAACTTTGGAAGCAACCACGACAGGATCGCGAGCCTTGGTGAACACAACGTTCTACCGAGATGGAACAAGTTATCGCTACCGGGAACTCTCGGAGGCTTTTCCACCTTGTTCGACGAACGGGTAGCGGGAAGTCAGGTTATCTGCGAAGCCAGTGGTGAGCCAATCCCTAACCTGTGAGAATGCTTAGAACACTAGACCGAGCAGTTCCAACAACAGCTAAACTAGCCACAGGTGTCATTGACTATGCAATCAGACCCTGCTTGTGTTCATTAGCCTGCTGACGTTTCTCCGCTCTCGGAAACAGAAGTCTCACTTGAAATCAAGTTACCCAGACGTCACAAGACGTC